AGGGTCCCTCCTCTTTATTCTCTCTCTGTCCCCTTTCTCTCTTCTCTTCTCTCTTTCTCCTCTAACGCGCTCTCTCTTTCTCATGCACTCTCGTGTCTCTGTCCTCTCGCCTCTCTCTCTTTCTCTCTCTGTCCCGCTCTTGTTCTTGTCCCCTCTCCTTAATTCTCTCTGTCCCCCCTCGCCTCTTCTTTCTCTCTGTCCCCCCTCTTCTTTTGCCTCTGCCTACCTCTCTGTCTCTGTGCCTGTGCTCCACCAGCTTCCCCCCTACCTCCTTGTCTCCAACACCTCCCTTCTTCCCTCCTCCTCCACCACTTCTCCCTCCTCGCTTCTCCACCACCTTCTTCTCCCCTTCCTCCTTCCCACGCAGCCTTCTCCCTTCTTCCCTGCTCCACCACCTTCTACTTCTCCCCTTGCCTCCTTCTCCACCGAGCTTCTCCAGCTGTCTCGCCCTTTCCTCATTCCTTAGCGCATATTTGAGTCGGCGCATACGGCCGCGCGTGCCGTATAATCCACATTGAATCTTATCCACACGGCCGACCGTGCGGATAGCCATATTGAAGTCGGCCCACACGGCCGCGAATGCGTATAGCCATATGAATCTTATCCACACGGCCCGCCTGGTATAGTACTTCCGGCCAAGGCCCACCGCACAGTACATGTAAAGTATATATACCACCGGCTTGGCCCGCCCCCGCGTCTGTCTGGCCGTTCGGCGTCGCTTCCAGCAATCCGATTTGGCTTGTCTGGGTCTGTTGCTTCCATTCTAATCTGCTTCGTGGGGTCCGTTGGTCCGTTAATTCATCCATAAATCTCTGTCCACCGCAGTTCCATCCGCTGCGCGTCTGCGTCCAGTTCATCCCCCGTCTATCCATGCCTGCAGTTCCATTCATCCATCCAGCCCCACTGCGCCTATCAACCCATTCGAGTCTATCCATCCATCCATCCATACACCCTTCATGCATCGTGTAACTACATGTTTTCATCCTGATGCTTGTCATGGTTGCCAGAAAAGCGAAGCTGTGAGAAGAATGGAGTATGTGATTTTCACATGTTCTGGGTGACGTTGTATACTGAGGTATTTATACTGAGTAGGTAATATTGGAGAACGTGTCCATTACATAACTAAGCCATTTTACAGTATTACTACAATACTATCTTACGGCTCGTTTGTGTCATTCGGTTAAACTGTTATCTATTATTCCAGGACGTAGCCAGGATTTTGAAAAGCTTAGTAGGCACGACTATCTGTAGTGGCCGAGCGCGACGCATGCTTGGCCGGCGGAGGGCTACAAGGAAACAATGTTTTGGTTTTACACAACCCCAGATGGCTGCGAAACGGCCCTTCCGCCGAGGTGTCATTCTGCGTTCCCTGCGCTCTCTTGCCTAACTTGAGACACCTCATTCAATATCACCTGTGTATACAACCCAAAAAACAAGAACGAGTGTAAAAGCAGTTAAAATTAGTGTACGAGCGAAGTTAAAATGCGTTAAAAAACTGACAGGATGATCGGATGCCTAGTCTTTTTCGGCCGGTGGTAGAGTGATTAATAAACGGCACGCCGATAGAAATGACAGCCTAGATGATCAGAAGAATATAGCGTCACCTAATTTAGCCATATTCTGCTACGTTCATCTGTCAATGAGTTTGTTCTTGTCTAGTCTCTTAAACTCGTCCAGCAGGCTTATGGCTTTGTATTATGGGTGTTTAAAAAAAAGAAGATAACTTGGCCAAAAAAAGTGTAGGCCCGGCCCTACAGTGCTACATACTGGCTACGCCCCTGTTATCTATGTCAAATGTACTTGGAATCATGCAATCTCGCGTTTTACTTGTGCGTCTATTTATCTTGTGATTAGTATGAAGTCCACGAGCATGTGCAGTAGCGTGGGTGTTCATGATATGGATTATAATAAATCTACGTTAACTAAAATTTGGATGGTTCTTTTTATATGATGTTAAGTGTTTGAAAGCTGCGTCACAATATTCCTTTTCAAATCGTGGTAGTTTTCAGTAAAAGGCAAAGTGCTAGGGCACTACGTAGCCGTGAATAAATTGTTGCTGGCCGGGATTTGAACACGGGCTACGGCTACCGGGGTCATACCTATGTGTCCCGGTACCTATGTGTCCCGGTACCTATGTGTCCCAGTACCCAGGTACCTATGTGTCCCGGTACCTATGTGTCCCAGTACCCAGGTACCTATGTGTCCCGGTACCTATGTGTCCCGGTACCTATGTGTCCCGGTAACTATGTGTCCCGGTAACTATGTGTCCCGGTACCTATGTGTCCCAGTACCCAGGTAGCGAAATATTTTTTCCCAAACAGGTTTACATATGACAGTAAAATCCTGCCTCCTGATTGGTTCAAAAACAGCGCGTGTTTGCTTATTTAGCATATGTCATGTACTGTTTCTTATATATCCTCTGTAGCGTGGTGGATAGAACACCGTCGTTACGTGTGAAAGGTCGGTGGTTCGAATCCCGTTTGGTTTTTAATTATTTTTTTGTTTTTTGTATTTTTTTTATCTTTATCCATTTAACTATTGTTTTCCAATGAACGGAAATATTTGCATGATTGATTTACAACAATTATATATTTTAATTAAAAAATTTTTTTAATTAATTGAATTTCATTTATTAGTGTTAATTAAATTTAATTAGGGTTAGGGTTAGGGTTAGGGTTAGGGTTAGGGTTAGGGTTAAGGTTAATAGGTAATTTACTACTCGTTTTACTGTAATAGGTAAACCTGTTTGGGAAAAAAAATTTCGCACCCAGGTACCTATGTGTCCCGGTACCTATGTGTCCCGGTACACGAATCAAAGGATTTCAGGATTAGGCCTAAGCTGTTACGTCACCAAACAAAAAATTACAATGTGTTTTTAGTTAATTTTCAAATAAAAAACTGACTTTTATGAACTTTTTTCCCTTCACTTTTATGAACTTTTTTCCCTTCACTTTTATGACTTCCATATATTTTAATATATTATAATGAATGCGATTAATTTTGAGATGAATTCAGAACTTTTTTTCGTTTGTGTTAAAAGACATTTTAAGGGAGACATACTGAGCATAGTTTTATTCTCCCATGACTTTAAATAGTACCCCCTTTTAATATGGGGGAACATAGGTACCGAGAAACATAGGTACCTGGGTACTGGGACACATAGGTACCGGGACACATAGGTACCGGGAAACATAGGTACCGGGACACATAGGTACCTAGGTACTGGGACACATAGGTACCGGGACACATAGGTACCGGGAAACATAGGTACCGGGACACATAGGTACCTGGGTACTGGGACACATAGGTACCGGGACACATAGGTACCGGGACAC